GTATAAAAATAAATCTACCCCAGGGCCAAAACTATATTGCCTTAATAAATGAAGTTTTATTGTCTGTTTGGATATCTACCAGGGCCTGTTTCCGTCTTTATTCTCCTTTTTCAAACAGCTTGTTAGTGTCAGTAAAAACTGTGGATGTGATTTTAATTTCGATTGCCCTGAGTTCATACATTAAATGAGGGTAAACTGACATTTACAGTAATTTTGGAGCAGGGGTGTCTTTACAATATTAAGGATTTGAATCCAGGATAAATAATATGGCATTACACTTATTCAGGACTTTTTGTGTTCTTCACTTAGCTTTATAGAGAAAGAAAGCTTCCCACATTTATGGTTGATAATCACTGGATATTTTATAGTTTCTGATTGTTTTTGTTTTTTTCTAAAGCCATTGTTTTTTTATACAGATATTGACTTTTAAGAATTACTGTGCTTTACTGAACTCTTATTAGTTCTAATAGCCTTTCTGTTAAATTTCTTGAATTTTCTGGGTAAGCAATACTTGAGTGAGTTTTTTAGTCATTAATAGCTTTTTCTGCTTGCTCATATAATTTACCAGACTATAAGCAAACTGAAGATGTATCTTACATTTTCTTTTTTATTTTTTCAATTGACAAATAATAATTGTACTATTCAGGGGGTACACAGTGATGTTTCTATACACTTAGTGAGTAGTGAGTGATCTGATCAGGGTAATTAGCATATCCATTATCTCAAACAGTTATCATTTCTTCCCCCTAAAACTTATTCCTCCTATGAAACTATAATTTTGTATTCTTCAACAAATCTCTCCCTTCCATCTACCCTTTCCGGCCTCTAGTATAATCTGTTTTAATTTTTACTTTTAAGAGAACAGCTATTGTTTAGCTTCCACATATGAGTGAGAATATGGGGTGTTTAACTGACTTATTTCACTCAACATTATGTCCTCCAATTCCATTCATGTTCCTGCAAATGACAGATTTTCATCCTTTTTTATGGCCGAATAGTCTTCCATTGTGTACATATACCACAGTTTCTTTATCTATTCATCTGTTATTGGACACCTTGGTTGATTCCGTATCTTGGCTATTGTGAATAGCACTTCCCTAAATATGAGGGTACAGGTGTTTCTTCAATAGAATGATTTCCATTCTTTTGGATAAATGCCCAGTAGTGGGATTGCTAGATCATATGATAGTTCAATTTGTAGTTTTTTCAGGAACCTCCATACCTTTCTCCATAGCGGCTGTTATTAGTTTTCATTCCCACCAACAGTGTATAAAGAGTTCCCTTTTCTCTAAGTCCTCATCAACATTTGTTATTTTTTGTCTTTTTATAATATTCATCCGAACTAGGGTGAGATGATACCTTGTTGTGGTTTTGATTTGCATTTCCCTGATGATTAATGATGTCGAGCATTTTTTCATATATTTTTGGCCATTTGTATGTCCTCTTTTCATAAATGTTGTTCGGATCATTTGCCCATTTTTGTTTATTTTTTTGTTTTTGTTTTTGAGACAGGGTCTTGCTCAGTTGGCACTAGAGTGCAGTGGCATCATCATAGCTCACTAGCTCACTGCAACCTCAAATTCCTGGGCTCAAGGATCCTCCTGCTTTAGCCTCCCAAGTAGCTGGGACTACAGGCATGCACCACGACACCCAGCTAATTTTTCTATTTTTTGTAGAGACAGGGTCTTGCTTTTGCTCAGGCTGGTCTCGAACTCCTGGCCTCAAGCAGTCCTCCTCCCTCAGCGCCCCCAAAGTGCTAGGATTACAGGCATGAGCCATGATGCCCAGCCATTTGCCCATTTTTTAATTGGATTGTTTGGTTTTTTGCTGTTGACATATTTGAGTTCCTTATGTATTCTGGATATGAATCCCCCATCAGATGAATAGTTAACAAGTATTTCCTTCCATTCTGTAGATTGTTGTTTCACTCTGTTGTTTCTTTTGCTGTGCAGAAACTTTTTAATTAGATATAATCTCATTTGTTTATTTTTACTTTTATTGCCTGTGCTTTTGAGGTCTTATCCATAAAATCTTTTCCCAGACCATTGTCCTAAAGCATTTCCCCAATGTTTTCTTCTAGTAGTTTTATCATTTCGGGTCTTAAATTTAGGTCTTTGATTCGTTTTGAGTTGACATTTGGACAGGGTGAGAAGTGGGAATCTATTTTCATTCTTCTGCCTATGGATATCCAGTTTTCCCAGAACCATTTATTGAAGAGATTGTCCTTTCCCCAGTGAGTGTTGTTGGCACGTTTGTGAAAAATCAGTTGGTTGTAGATATGTGGGTTAATTTTTGGGTTCTCTATTCTGTTCCATTGGTCCGTGTGTCTATTTTATGTCAATACCATACTGTTTTTTCATGTAGTTTGAGGTCTGGTAGTGTGATAGCTCCAGCTTTGTTCTTTTTGTTCAGGATTTCTTTGTCTATTCAAGGTCTTTTGTGATTCCATACAAATTTTAGGATTTTTTTTTTAATTTCTGTGAATAATGTCATTGGTATTTAGTTAGGGATTGCATTAAGTCTGTAGGTTGCTATGGGTTGTATTGTCATTATAACAATACTAATTCTCATTATTTCTTTTCTGTGAAAACATAGAATGAAACAGTGGTATAGTCATATGCTTGCTGGATGTCTCAAAAATTACACAAAGTATCATTTTCCCATATGTAGTCTTATAGTTGTTTGCTTGTTTTATTTAATTTCAGAATACCCTCAAAGGAACTTTATAGACCAGTTCTGAGTGGGGAAGAATATTTTGACAGCAGAGTGTTTGGAATCCTGAAAAAATTTAGGAAGGAGTTAATTTATTTGAAGCAGTTCTCCCAGGTTGGTCTGAGTGCAGTGGTGTTTACGACTAATTGATGACAACCAGTTACAGATTCCTTTGTTACCACTTCACTTGACCAACCTTTAAAGAAAAGAAAAGAAACAGTTCACCCATACTTACTTTATACACATGCACACATACGCATGCGAACACACATGCACATATTATTTATTTACTTACTATGTACTAGCAAAATTGAGCTATGTTGCAGAACAAAGACTGTTTAAACCCTTGTTCTACAGTCATATAGTTAGACCTATTGGCAGAAGCAGATGAGGGGCAAATATCGAATCATACATGCCAGTGGTTGCCAGGACATTTAAGAACGAAACCTAGGTAACTTTTTGTGTGTATTATTAAAGTTTGCTCCCATCAGCATGTTGCATTGTACTGTACTCAACTATTGATGTTTTCCAAAAACTATGTATGTGTATGTAGTCTAGGGTCTTATATTTGAAATATACATTCCTTTGCATCTCAGTTATGCAAACTCTTGTTTATTCTTCAAGACTGAAATATCCTTCCCTTCAAAAATTCTTCCCTTTCTCAGGCAAATAAAAAATTACTCATTATATTCTTCTGTTACAACAGTTATCACATTATATTGTAAATATTTTGATTTCTGTATCCTTCCTAAACTGTGAGCTACTTGAAACTGTGCCTTCTCCAATGTCTAGCACAATATCTGGCATAGGGTTGGTACTCTGTAAATTTTAGTTGAGTGAAAAAATATATAGAAAGTAAAAGATTAAAAAACTGTCTAAGAGAAAGTCATACGTGTGACAATTCAAGAAAAATATTAATGGTTCTATGGAAGGGGCAAAATAGGAAGACTATTTTATAAAAAGATAAATAAAAGTACAAATCTCATAGTATAGAAATGTACATTTTGATGCAGTATTGTTTACTATAATGGAGAAATACAGTAGAGACCAAATGAGGACCCACATGGCATAAGGCTATGAAAACATGTTGAAAGTCAGGAAGAAAAAGAGTATTCATTTCAGGTACAAACTCTACAAATGACATGATTTTGAGAAGTAAATACCATTAGGAACCATACTACATCTACTTCTATATAAGCAATATATATTCTTGGTTTATAGGTTACCGTAGGTAGAAAACAAGAATTAGTATAAATAGTTTTCCAATAATATCAATGTAAAGCATACCTGGACTAGCAGGCCAGCTTTGTAGGAAATAAAAATGATTTCTTTCATCTTTGACCCTCTGCTTTCTGTTTTTATTAAACCTTTTTATATATATTTAAAATTACTAGATTTTAAGATTTTAGATGGGACATAGTTTTTTCAGGCACAGTTTAGATGCTTAATAATTGCTGAATTTAATTGAAAATATCAGTTTTTATTATACATATTAGTTGGACTTGATGGATTATACATTTCCTTCTTTTACGTATTCTTTAGTGTATTAAGAGAGGAATTGGATAACTAATTCAGTCTTTTTCCAATAAAACAAATATTTCAGCAGAAATAAGGACTATCAAGTTTCTTAAGGCTACATCTGAATGATTTAGGTAAGAAATAAAGAGCTGTCAATATCCTATTTCTTCTATAGCTCTTGAGCAATATTTTGATGATTATCTCATGGAAAGATTCGATGAAAATTTAATTTAAATCTATATGCACATAAAATGAGGGATGACAGATGAGAACACTTTAACATAGCCTAGGTTCAGTGATTCTATGATTGAAATATCATTATAGTATTGACACACTACAACCTCAGGGCTAGTATAGGTCAAACCATAAAAACCTCCATACCATAGGTTCAGTGTTGGTGTTTGCTCAGGCAGCTTCAAGATGTTTTGTTAGGAAATAGCAGAACATTGCAGCTAATATAGTATATTCTAATTCTATAAAAGGTGATGAATATTGCTATTCAAATAATGTATTCTGTGGCTACTGTTGTCTCTTAAATTATTAAATGTGGTAGAATGACTCATACATTTTTTAAACTGGTAAGTTATTTTTATACTGATTGATTTTTCATTCTCTTAACATGTCAATTGATTTTGAATATAAAATACTTGTTTAGAAGCAATTCATCACACAAATGTTTTAATTTACATAGTTTTGGATATCTAACAGATTTTCTTTTAAATTAAGAGTCTTTTCTGTATTATCAATTTGTTATTGGTCTCTTACTACAGGTTTTCAACACATACTCCAATGAAGACTATGACAGGAGAAATGAAGACGTTGACCCTGTGGCTGCTTCAGCTGAATTTGAACTTGAAAAACGTGTTGAAAAACTGGACCTGTTCCCAGTGGAACTAGAGAAAGGTTTGTGAGTTTATAATATCATTAAATATTTGTTTTTATAATATGTGATTATAAACAATTATTTGACTATATTAATAATACAGAATTATTTTTCCAAAGTGTAGCCTTTTTTCTAAGAATTGGATAAAATGTTACTTCTCACAGAGGATCTTATTTATTAAGTTTCAGAAACAGTTAATATAGATTCTGGGTAGGTGGTGGGATTGAAAGGCTTCCTCATTCCTCCCCCTTCCAACAGAAATCCATCTACTTTAGCAGGCTGGGATGCTGGTTAGGATCAGAGAGGTATGAGTGAGGCCCAGTGCTTTGTTGGTGTTCCTGGAAAGGGCTGGTGCAGCTGAGAGCACAGAGAGAGCTGGTATAAGTGAGAGCTCGGGAACAGATGATTGTTTTTGTTTTTGTGTTTGTTTTGTTTTCGTGGAGAAAGACTAGTCTTGGAATATGGAAGGTAGGGGGTATGTCTGTATTAGCCTTTGGAAAATTATGGACATTTGGAATGAAGGCAGTGAAATCCAGGAAGATTTAAATAGTAGGGCTACATCCTCTCTATCTCTGAGGGGAGAGGCTCACAGAGAGGAGGAAAAAGGGGGAGCAGAGGGGCTTCCTCCTGATTTTTTTCTCTGGAATGACAGCCTGCCTGCTGCAGTAACTGCTGAAGCAGGGGAGCAGAGCTGCTGTGTTTATCATCATCACATAAGACGGGCACCCACCAACTAGACTGTGACCCATGACCAGAAAAAATCACGTCTCAGAGAGCTTTAGAAAAAGTAGAACAAACAGTTGATAACTTGAATAACAATAAAGAAAGAAACAAAAGCCCACTCAAGGATATTCACTATGGCTTTAAAAAGGCATTCTTAAGCAAATTAGTAACAACAAATTCCTTGATTTTCAATTGAAAAATTTCACTAGAAGAATTGAAGAGAAAAGGATTGGTTATTGTTGAGATTCAAATCGGTGACCTGTAAGGTTAAGTGTAAGAGATGTCCCAAACTGATTCTCAAATGACAGAGCAAAAATCCAGGAAAAGTAATGAAGAAGCCCCAATATTTAAAGTTGTAGGCAACAGAAGGGGAGAAGGCAAAGGAAGAGGAGGGACATATTAAGTAATATGAAGAAACAGAAGAAAATTTTGTTGAGCTGAAAAAAAGACTCAACCCTCATATTAGAAAGGGCTTATCCCATTGTGAGCAAGAGAGCTAAAAAACCCCAAACTGATCCCACGATTAGACATAGTTTGGGGAAAAAATCCAAATGTTCAAAGATAAAGAGAAAATCTTACAAAATACCAGGCCAAAGAAACAAACTAGACAAACAACTAAAATACTTGGAAAGGCAAAATGATTAGACTAATGTTGTCAGACTTTTTATTTGCAACACAGAAGCAGGGAGATGTAGATACAATTTCACATGCCACTGAGGATAAAAAGGATGATGATACAACAATCCTATATCCATCCCAGAGAGCATTTACCTATCCTGGTAAAAGAAAGAAACTTGCTGATATGTAAGGATTTAAAGAACACATCACCTACGTACTTTATCTGAGTGATTTACTTCCCAGTTAGCAGGAAGGAAATAAGGAGCAGCTTTTTCAGAACAGCAAAGGTGAGGAAAAAAGAGCAGAAAACTATGTAAGTATTTAACATAAAATTGCTTAGATGAAAAAGATATGAAACAATACCAGTCATATTACACTAAACATGACTCACTGATGACTCCTGTTAAAAGACACTTTCATTTGTGGTTAAAGTGAAATCAACAGTGATCTTACATTTTTCATAGATTTAAAAATGTGAAAACCACTCGTAGCTGATGGGCCGTACAAAACCAGCAGGGCCATTGCATTGCTTGTAATAACAGTACAGAGAGTCTATACATTATTGCAGCATATCTAGTTAATAAAATATTGCTCAACAGTGAAAGTGAATGAGCCACAGTTTATGCCGCACTGTGTATGATAGTTACAAACATGAAGTAAAGGGAAAATAGAAATAGCAAATCACAGAGGAAGCCATTCAGTATAATTCCATTCATTTAAATTTTGAAACAAAAAACAATTAAACATCATATTGTTTAGAGATACACAAATAAGTAGTTTTTTGTGTAAAAAAAAGGAGGAAATGATTAACACAATATTTAGGATAATGATCACTAAGGAAAGAGTTATGAGATCAGGGAGGGGTACATAGTGGGCTTTTGGAGTGTTGATAATATTCTGTGTTCTTTGTTGATACAGGAATGTTTATTTTATTTTTATTCTTTAAACATAATGCTTTATAGATAAATGTTATCTACTGGCATGCATACTCTTTTGTATATATGCTATATTTCATACTGAAAATCAAACTAGAAAATAACCAAATGAAATACAATTATTAGAGATTTCAATACATTTTTTTCAGAACTAGACAGATCTATAGACAAAACAAGTAAGGAGTGGATTAATATAATCATCTCAATTTAAAGCTATATTTAAAATGAAAAAATTGTATCCTTTGGAAAAATTTTAAAAGCTTTTTTAATATCATGGGAATTTGGAAATTATATAATATATTCCTAGGTAGATGTTTGATCAAAGAGAAATGAAAACTAATATTCGAAACCATCTTATAAGGATAGCACTTAAAAAATCTTTAATATACATCAAAAGCCTTGCTCAGGAGAAAAATTGTATCCTTAACTTCTTTCTTTAAAAGAAAAAAAGGAAAAGGAAAAAACTCTTATCTTGGGAATCGGAAAAAGTAAACAAAATAAACAAACTGGAAAGGGAGAATAGTATAAATAAAAACAATATTAATGACAGAAAAAATAGCCAAATAAGTTAATGAGAAGCTTTTTCATTGAATAGGTAGATCCATAAAATATATCAATTTTTCACCATACTGATGGAAGAAAATTGAATAGATACATGTCTATATCTATAACTAAATTGATTCTAATTTTAAAATATTAGAATTGTAAGATAATTTGTGAATGAGGATATCACATCCACCGAAGAGAAAAACTAATGGCTTTTTCTCTATATTCACATTAAGAACCTAGAAATGAAAATGGGAAAACTATTTCATTTACAGTAGCATCAAAACAACAAAATACTTATTTTTATTACTAAGAAAAACATAGAATTTATCTATATAAAATAATAAAATCTTTTTGAAAGACATCTAAGCAAATTGAAAGATATACCATATTCTTAGATAGGAAAACTTAGTATTGAAAAGTCTCTTTGTACATTAATATATAAGTTTAGTGCAGTTCGAACAGAACTGCCAACAAAGTTGGGTTGGGAGAGGGGACTGCAGAAAGTAATATTATATTTGATATAAAGAAATATAGGCCTAAGGAAAAAAGAATGAAAAAGAATTTGAAGGACTTAATTTACCAAATATCTGAATATAAATAAAGCTTTATAATCAGAACAAATTGTATTCATACAGAAATCTATCAGTGGAACAAAATAGAAAACTCAGAGAAAGAGTATGCATGAGAATTTAATATATAGCATGCATTATATTTCAACCTAGAAGTAACAACATACTTGTTAAATTATTCTGGCATAACTGAGCATCTATCTGGAAGAATATAAAGTTGGACACCTTCATTACATCATATATAAAAACTAACTCCACATGAGTTAAATAATTAAATATTAAAAATAAAGATCTATAAAGAAAATTTATATAAGTACATATATCGTCTAGGCTTGTAGGTGGAGGGGCTTAACCAAAATGGGAAACCAGAAGTTAGAAAAGATGAACCAATTCAATGACCTATAATTTTAAAGACAAAGCTAATAGATAAGTGATAAATTTGGCTTGTAGGGTCAGGGGAACTGCGTTATAGATTACAAAGAGTTAATATCTATAATACGCTAAGAATCCTTGAAAATCATCAGTAAAACAGATACAGGTAAAACTTAGTATTAATCAAAAAATTAGCCATTTCCTGAGGAGGAAACCTAATGACCCATGCTGCTGCGAATACAGGCTCAAATCTTGCTAGCAGTGAGGGGGGTGATAAACCAACGTGGACACCTTTCCTGAGAGAAAATAAGCTTTGAGCTCCAGAGTATGGTGATGGCATCTTCCATAATAACACGGCCTCACTATCTTTCCCATCTTTTCACGGCTGCTTTGCCCACTTAGTGCTTTGCCTGTCCCTAGGAGCGTACACAGAGGAAGGCAGGCTGGCAGCCACAGGACTCAGTGGCCTTCAAGTCTGCAGCCTAGGACTTCCCCCATCCATGACACATCTCAGAGAAAACTGGAAAATGGAATGCTCCAGAACATCAGCCACCTGGTCTCTGTGGGGTGATCCTACTGCTTGTATCGCTTCCCCTTCAGTCATCACCTTGTCTTTGTAGGTATTACTAGTTTTCATTAGAATTGAGGATAGCTCTAGTTAATACTGCTTTTTCCACATCTGGGTTTTCAGCTCTACAAATCTGAGTAATTTTCCAGTTAAAGCAATGAGAGGAGCAATGGAAGAAAGAGACTTTTATTGAGATCTGAGTCCAGGCAGAGAAAATAGATTTAAAAAACCAAGAAGTAATTTTCACTCGGAATAGTTGCGAGAAGAATAGGCATGAGAGTACAGAGATTTCACACTTGAGAAGGAACTCTTTGGACGTAATAAGTATGGGAAAGTTGCACTCAGCTCCACATTGGCTTGACATGTGATAATTCACAATGAAGAGAAACCCTGTAAATATAATGAATGTGAGCAAGAATTCAGCCAGAATGCTAATACATGCATACACCAGAGATTTCGTACATGACAGAAACGCTATGGCATTATTCAGTGTGGAAGAGGCTATAGTGATCATTTCTTAAACAACACAAGGGCAACACACTGGGGAGAAAACTTATATGGATGTAAGCACTGTGGGAAGGATTTTCAGTAATCATTCATCCCTTATCAATGTGAACAGATTCACACTCTAGAGAAACCCTATCAATATGATGAAGGTGAACAAGAAGTCAGCCATCAGCTAACCTTTGTACACATGAAACAGTTCATGTGGGGAAGAAGAAACCCTGTACACATAACCCATGTGGAAGAGCCTTTAGCACGTGTCTCACCTTCATGTGTACAAGAAAGCTCATTCTGGGGAGAAACTCTAACACTGTAATGAATGTAGAAAATTTTTAGCAAGATAAATTTTCTTGATGAACATCAGAGTGTTCATACCAGAGAAACAATTTGAATAAAACACGTATGAGAAATCACATGTATGCAAACATTCTAAATGTAACGAATGAGGAAAATATTCAGTGATTACTTATCCATTAGTCAACATTAAAGTTCTCACACTGGAGAGATACCAATGCTTGAATCAATGTGGTAATGCCTTCAGCTGGGGTTCACATCAGAAAACGAATCCAGGGGATATACTATAAAAATTCCTTTAGCATACAACTGAGCAAACAAGTCACATTTTTGTCAAATGACAACTTTTTAAACATATGTAGATTTACGATGTAGGATTGTGAGTCATGCTTAGAAAGGGGAAGTTGATCACAAGTAGTAATCAATGAGATGAACCCTCTTTGAAAGAATACTAATTAAGAATACTTACTAAAGGTTATTGCTGACAAGTCTTTTAAAAACATAAAGCATTCTGTTTAGTATGTGGGCTAGTTTTCCTTAATAGTCCATCACTGTTGATTAGCTATTATTTATTTTTTATACTTCTAATAAACCATGATTGCAAAGACTTTGAGGGCATCAGAAAATAACTTTGAATGTTAACCAAAAGATGTGGTACACAAAGTAGTGTGTCTTTTATTTCTTTGATTATTAAATTTTATGCGTTCACAGAAAGGAAAAATCGAGATATGAATAAACACATGATTTGTAAGTGAATTTTGAAAAGCTACTGTTTATCAGTATTGTTCACAGAACCAATGAAATGGAAACAAAAGTGAATACTTCTGAATAAAGAAATGGTTGGATACATTATCATAACATTTCACCGTGAAATACTATGCAGCCATTAGAAATGATTTAGAGCTATATAAATTGATATCCATGACATATCATCGGATTTTTAGAAGTAAGCTGCAGAGAGATGTAGATATAATCTTATTTGTGTAAAGCAAATAGGAAGGAAAAACAAGCCAAATCTGTGTGTGTATGTCTGTATATATTGTAGCTGTTAATAAGTATATTTGCTTATGTAATAGGACAGAGGAAAGTACTTAAAGACACATATTAAATGAATAGACAAGTAAAAAAGAAAAGAAAACTGACTACATGAATAAAGGAGAAATTCCAGATACGTTATGATCACATTTCTTTAAAATTCTGTATGTGTTTTAATTTGTGAGCTTTTATGTCTAAAACAATTCATAGGATTATTCTGGGAATCTGTTAAGGCAGGTTGATTATGCATAACCAAATTATTTCCTTTTCTTGGGACCACAGTGAATTACCAACTGCAATAGTAAAATGAGACTAAATTCGTGAGCCTTTTGGAGGATCTTATTAGATACGCTTACTCCCTAGCTTATTAAAAAAATTCTACTATGGCAAACATATCATATGTCCTATCCATAGAGAAGCACAAAATTAGAACAGCAGATAGGCCTTCCCAGCTAATTGTGGACTAGTGTAAAACAGGTTGTTCTGTTTTTTTTGTTTTCCTTTTTCATAGATGAGGATGGTCTTGGTATAAGTATTATCGGAATGGGTGTTGGAGCAGATGCTGGCCTTGAAAAGCTGGGAATATTTGTCAAGACAATAACAGATGGTGGTGCTGCTCAGCAGGATGGCAGGTAAGCGAACTACTGTTGTTAACTTAAAATCTTAGGGAACTGGCCGGGCGCGGTGGCTCACGCCTGTAATCCTAGCTCTCTGGGAGGCCGAGGTGGGCGGATTGTTTGAGCTCAGGAGTTTGAAACCAGCCTGAACAAGAGCGAGACCCCGTCTCTACTAAAACTAGAGAGAAATTAATCGGACAACTAAAAATACATAGAAAAAATTAGCCAGGCATGGTGGCGCATGCCTGTAGTCCCAGCTACTCGGGAGGCTGAGGCAGGAGGATCGCTTGAGCCCAGGAGTTTGAGGTTGCTGTGAGCTAGGCTGACGCCATGGCACTCACTCTAGCCCGGGCAAAAAGAGTGAGACTCTGTCTCAAAAAAAAAAAAAAAAAAAAAAAATCTTAGGGAACTTTTCTTGGAATTCTTTCAGAGGTAGCTTTCTTCTTTTGATTTTTTTTTTCGGGGACAGAATTTCAGTGTGTTTCTCAAATGTGTCAGTTGTTAAAACACATGAATTACTTTCTGATTTGTAGGCAGAATATCTGTTTTCTGTAATATATATTAGATAAATTAGATCTATCTATACCTGTCTTCATTCATCTTTCTATCTAGTGGGAAGTGGGCAGAAACATGGATGTATATCGTTAAAGACCATGTACCGTAGAGGTCAGCATATATTTTCACTTCAGAAATGTTGAAAAAAAGGATAATAGTTTTGGCATTTTTGAAAATGATAGAGATAGAAGATAAATTAGGAGCTCTAATTCTGCATTGATGGTAATTCTGGGGATTTGTTTCTCCAAATGTGTTTTATCTAAAAACACAGGTTCTTGAGTGCCACCTAAACTTGTAGAATTAAAATCTCTAGGAGAGGGGTCTGGCAGTCTGTGTTTAAACATCCACCTTGGATAATTCTGATGCATAGAAGAGCACATCATTATTTTATATCTTAGCTTTCATCTTCTCAAGCTACATATATCTTTAAAGATTTTGATTAATCATTATACTAGGCTCCTGATATATCAGGTTGAGGCTAGAAGCAAAAGGTTGGTGTGTTAGTTCATTTTGTGCCTCTGTAACAGAATACCTGAGACTGGATAATTTATAATGAACAGTAATTTATTTGGCTCACGGTGCTGGAGGTTGGGAAGTCCAAGAACAAGCTGCCACATCTGGTGAGGGCCTTCTTGCTATGTCATCCCATGGTAGAAAGCAGAAGGGCAAGAGAGTGCCAAACTCACTTTTATAGCAACCCACTCTGGAGGTAGGGAATCCACTGCCATGATAGCAACATTAATCAATTCATGAGGGCAGAGCCCACATGACCTAATAATCACCTTTTAAAAGTCCCACCTCTCAACACTGTTGCATTCAGGATTAAGTTTTCAACACATAAATTTGGGAGACACATTCAAACCGTGGCAGTTGGCAACAGAAATAAAAGTAGACCCAAAAATATGATTACCAAATTCAAAGAAATATCATGGTTTTTTTTACAGAACATTGAATGGGTAGCTTGGATTTTTTTTCAATGTTTAAGTATATATGTTTCAGTAATCTTACCAGGAAATAATAAAGCATCTTAAAAATAATTTGTGAATCTGGTGAGAACCATAGTAGCATTATTTTTTTCGTACTCCTAAAAACATATCAGATGGTTCTTAAGGAGAACTAAATTGATCTACGTAAATACAAAATTACACACTTTCTGTATCTTCTTTCCCATGTGATTTGGGACAACATCTTAGTCAGTAGCCTTGTTTGTGTTCCCATAGCCAGTATAATAAAAAATACACTTAGTGTAATACTTTGCACAGAGAAGATTTGAAATGAATCTTTTGAGTGAATGTTCAGCTGACAACATGTGTCACACTTAAAGTGGGATATAAATATTTTGTGTTTGAAAGTAATTTATTAACAGTCTTCCTCCTTTTCAGAGTAGTTAAGGAAATAACCTTTTTGCTCCTTTAATGAATTACACAATGGTAGTAGTATTTCCCATTATTAGTTTAGCACCTTTCTTCCAAGGAAGCTAAAATGTCTTTGTAAAATCTACCTCATTTGTCATGAAAAATTTGATGACAAATTTTGAGGCATTTTAAGGTGATAGGAAATAATGTTTATAGTTAGTATTCAAACATTATTAAATTATTATAAACCATCTCTCTTAAGTGAATTGGCCACAAAGTCAAACCAAAATACAACTTGATTAAAAAACAAAAAGATGGAAAATTTTTGGCTGGGCACGGTGGCTCACGCCTGTAATCCTAGCACTCTGGGAGGCCGAGGCAGGTGGATCACTCAAGATCAGGAGTTCGAGACCAGCCTGAGCAAGAGCGAGACCCCGTCTCTACTAAAAATAGAAGGAAATTATCTGGACAACTAAAAATATATATATAGAAAAAATTAGCCGGGCATGGTGGTGCATGCCTGTAGTCCCAGCTACTCGGAAGGCTGAGGCAGTCAGATCGCTCGAGCCCAGGATTTTGAGGTTGCTGTGAGCTAGGCTGAAGCCACAGCACTCACTCTAGCCCGGGCAACAGAGTGAGACTCTGTCTCAAAAAAAAAACAAAAAGATGGAAAATTTTGCATTGAACACTTAACCAGTTCTCGTTGTTTTAAACACAGACCTATTTATTTTTCCCTCATTCATTTTTTTTTTTTTTTGAGACAGAGTCTCACTCTGTTGCCCGGGCTAGAGTGAGTGCCGTGGCTTCAGCCTCACAGCAACCTCAAACTCCTGGGCTCGAGCGATCCTGCTGCCTCAGACTCCCGAGTAGCTGGGACTACAGGCATGCGCCACCATGGCCGGCTAATTTTTTTTATATATTTTTAGTTATCCGATTAATTTCTTCCTGTTAGTAGAGACAGGGTCTCGCTCTTGCTCAGGCTGGTCTCGAACTCCTGAGCTCAAACAATCCGCCGGCCTCGGCCTCCCAGAGTGCTAGGATTACAGGCGTGAGCCACCGCGCCCAGCCCCTCATTCATTTTTAAATTGGGTTTATTTTCCATTAACCTATTTACTGACTTTTTTCCTCCTGCATAGTTTTGTTTACCTAGTATGCTAACTAATCTTGCTCTTCTCGTAATAGGTGCTTAGAAAATGCCTCAGCAAATACAGTAAGAGAGGCAACTTAATGTGATGAAATGAACAGAATCTTTAAGGTCATGTAGCCAGGAGTTTTAATTCCATTCCCTGTACTTATCAGCTGTGGGATATTGAGCAAATTACTTAATTTTCATGTTATCTACATTGCAGGATTGTTGTAAGCACCAAGTAAGCTTACGTAACTAAGAAACCTTCCACAGTTCTGTTTGTATATGGAACTGTTCTCAAACCAAGTAAAAGCTTGAAATTTAGTAAAAAAATAGTGATTATGGGAAGAATCTTGTGAAAAACTATTGAAAAGTACACAACCTACATACAAAATCATAAATCTTGGTAGTCAGAGGGACTTCAGAGATCTTCCAATCCATATATTTTCTTTTATGTGTGTAAGATAATTGAGAGTGTGTGTGTAGATGAGAAAATGAGAAAATAAGTGGTTTCATAATTAGACCTATGACAGTTTTAGTATCTTTTAAATTATTATATTATTATCACCACCATTACTGGTATGTTCATTTGCATAATGTTTGCTTGTTTACTAGTTGAAAGGTAGCAACATATGAAAGTTATACAAAGAACAATAGGTTACTGCCTCTAATCGATAATAATTTTTAAAGTAATGATATGTATACTTATTGATATAGAAAAGTATTGTATTGAGCGTTTACAAAACAGTATGATTAATATGATGCCATTCTTGTGTGAATATGTGTTCTATTTATTCATTTTTCTCTCTCTCTCTTTTTCTCTCTTTGTCCCTCTTTGTCTCTGTCTCCCTTAGTCTCTCTTTCTCAAAAAGCCTAAAATTAATACATGCCCAAGTGCTGAATGTCTCTAGTTTGTGGGGTTGTTTTAAATTTCAGCTAATTAATATGGAATATTTAGGGTTTTTTTTTAAGAAATTGTAACATCTGTATTAGTTTTCTATTGCTGCTGAAACAAATTATCCCAAACTTAAAATATATAATACTTTAAACTACCACTAAAAATGATGAGGTTGTCACTCTGCAGCGGTTACTCTTCAAACCTCAGTTATTGAGGATCTGGCTTAGATGTTCTCTGTAATAGTTCCTGTTAGCTTTAAAAGGATAAGGTTCTGTATTATAGTTTTCTAGCTTGCTGTAGTTTCTTAACGCTTCCTATTTAAGAAAAGTTATTTCAATTTAGTCTCAGATTTAGTCATACTTCCTTCAAGGAATGTTAAATAAGCAGACATATATAGAAAGTTTTTTTTCTCCCTCTTCTCCCCTTTTCCTGCCCCCACACAAGAAGCCTTTCGTTGTGATTGTTTTTACTTCTTCTAAATGGCTCATAAACTCTCACCGTATTTTGGATACTTTTAAAGATTTGCCATGGGTACTTATCTCCTGATTTATCTAGTGTAGTTAAAAAGTTTAGAGTCTTCCTTTTTCTTTGATATTATGTCCTACTTTCTAAATTTTCTTTTTGTCAAGCTTTTCCTGTCTGTATCTTCTCATATGATGCCTTAAGCATAGAGGGTGCTCGATAAATATTTTTCGAATGAGTAAATCCTTGCGCTTTAATCACTGTTGAAACATTTCCTTGGGCTTAACATTTTTCTGTTTGTTTTTGTTTTTGTGCTACTCTGCCTCTTACAGGGTAGCTCGTAATTTAGCTGAATGACATGACAGCCATTTCCACCTTATGTTTTAGTGTTTAATTTTTAGTAAAATAATATATATATTGATCATTGTTTTTTGTTGCCAGAAATGTAATTGTTAGGTATGCACACAGGACACTTTGACACACTAGTGATTCTCCAGTCCTCTTTCAAGATTCTATAAAGCAAAAGTAGTTTCATAATAAAACAATTCAAAATGCCGAATTATAGAGTATCTCGCGTGGGCGATATTAATGATGCTGTGCTAAAGAGGCAAATTACACG